TTTATGGATTAATGTATTTACATATGGACACATCTATGCTTATACCTCTATCCACAGCTTTGCTTCCTCGATCATTCCTGTTTTTGACCTTCCTTCTGCCCCACCATCATGCTCACCCTACTTCTGCCTCATAGGACTTCCTCTCAGCTAGATTGCTGTTGCACCAGCACCCCCAGGATCTCTATATCCTCCTCATTATTGACTTTTATTCCCTAGTTCTTCCCCTGTCTATGGCATTGTTTACCCACCATACTCTTCCCCTGCCCCCGTCTCACCCTAAGTCCCTCCACCTCAGATCTGTTGGTCCCGTTGCCTTCCCCTCGAGACAAAGTCTGGTGATGTCTTTAAAAAGCCACTTGCAAACCCTATCCAACAGTTCTGCCCTGCCCTGTAGGGCTGCTATAAATCTAAATCAGTTCAGCGGCAATGCATTTGGTATTTAATATACTGCCTGTGAACAACAACAACAACAAATGTGCTTTTCTATGATAGGTGCAAGATTTTCCTCAGGAATGATTTGTTTAACTAAATCATCAATGTCTGCTAGGTGACATTTAAATCTGCTGCTATTAAGTCTATCTGACTTACAGCAATCCTATGTGCTCCACAGTAAAGCAACAGAATTTCCTAACGAGCCCTGCTGGCGCAGTGGGTTATGTGTTTGGCTACGAACTGGGAGGTCAGCAGTTTGAACTCACCAGCTTCTCTGAGGCAGCAAAACGAGGTTTTCTAATCCTGTACAGAGTTGTGGTCTCAGAAACCCACAGGGGGGTTCTACCCTGTCCTATGGGGTCACTGTGGGTCAGAATTGGCTTGATGGCAGTGAGTTTGGTTTGGGTGCAGCTGTAACCTTTCTTGGCTGTAGTCTTTACAGAAGATTATTTCCCACCGTAAAAGTCAAAGTAGAATGAGTTTTTGATGCCATGCCATTAAAACTTCCTTCTATCCTAAGAAAGGTTTTACTATTTTCATATAGACTAGGTAACTGTTTGACGAGCTACCTTCTGCTTACAGGAAACAACAGACTGTGAGAGGGTCTCTTGTTCCAGGTGGATCCAGGAGAGCATCAAGCAAGACAGTATTACCAGAAAAAGGGCTTCATGCCTGGGCCAGGGAGGGAAAGGAACATCAGACACAGCCAGTGAGTTCAAATGAAAATGTATACAGAGAGACTGTTCTCAAAGTTAAAATCATCGTAATCATACATCTAAGCCACAAAATCACAAAAATTGAAATGTTCTTTAGGTTTCCCTACAGGGAAAAGTAGAAAAAGTTATTAACATTTAAAGTGCAAGTCCAATAGATTCTTTCTACTAAACCTTGAGATCATTCTGTACTTAAAATAGTAGGGAGATTTAAAAATCATTTATGCTGTAAATCACAGAGGCACAAATTACAGAAGAAAAAAAAGCAATCCCATTCAGACGAAGTTCAAAAGAAATGGGACTGCAGTACCAGTTCACAAAATCCTCAATGCTGGCAAGAAAACAAGGGGGAAAGTGCCTTGTATCCAGCTGTCTCAAAGGCAGCCCATCACTCTATCAAGAAGCTAAGCATGATTAAATTACACTTTATATTAATATATGTACATCAACATCACATACAGAGATCAACATACAACATAATATGAATGCTAATACAACAATCATACGTGCATATTATTATTAATACAGAAGAGCCCTGGTGGTATAGTGGTTATGCCTTGGATTGCAATTCGCTTGGTCCGCAGTTCAAAACCACCAGCAGCTCTAAGACTGGGCTTTCTCCTCTCATCAACAGTTACAGTCTCAGAAACCCACAGGGGCCACTATGAGTCAGCATTGACTCTATGGCAGTGAGTTATTAATAATACAATAATAATGTGTATATATTAATACAACAATTCCACTTCTAAAATACACAGATTATTCAATGTTAACATATGTATAGTAACATCATGTAAATTATTATAGCAAAACTCACTGCCATTGAGTCAATTCCAATTCATATCACCTTTAAGACAGAGTAGTACTGCCTCTGGGTTTCTGAGGCTGTAAATCTTTTCAGGGGCAGAAAGCCTTACCTTTCTTCCTCAGAACAGCTGATGGGTTCAACTGCTGACCTTGTGGTTAGCAGCCTAATGCATCACCCGCTATGCTACCCAGCTCCTGCATATTATTAGATATTAGCATTAATCTCTATCAGTATATGATCTATGTGCATATGGCTATGTATATATTGATGTGTATATTAGTGCACTATGTAAATAGATTTATATCCATATATTAATAGATGCATTAATATTACAGTAATTCTTTAGTTTATGATATATGCTATATTGCTATATGTACATATGTTAATGCATGCTTATTAATATAATAACCATGCAATACAATATATCTTACTATGTGTGTATATTAATATGTGGTCTATTACATATTAATATGTGCATATTCATATAATATACTAGTGTATATATAATAATCTAATAACTTCACTTCTAAAATTTGTCCTGAGAAATAATCACATTTTGACTCCTTTATAAAGATGTTGGTTATAATATCATTTACAAAAAAAGAACAGGAAATAGCCTGTATCCACAACAGAACGGTTAAATCCCAGACAGTAAATCCAAAGCCAGGGCTTGAGTAGGGAGTTTGGCAAATTCACTCTCCAAATAAGAAAGACAAAATTTCACAAATTTGTCCAAAATAGCCATTTAAAGACTCTGGAAACTGAACAAAAACATGCAATAAATTGCGAAGTGTTTATTCAAGCAAATCTACTGACATTTGGCGAGAATAGTGGTAGTCTGAACTGTTTGCCTGGGTACAGTCATTGAATGAGGCAGAAGCGGGCATGATTTTATTTGGGGCTCAGGGAGGAAAACTGTGCCTGGGAGCATTGTCACCAGTGATAAGCATGTCAGTGGCAAGTGACCAGGGATGGTCACCCTCACAGCTAGCCCCAAGCTTTGATATTGGTTGGAACAAGTATCGGACCAGCAGAACTGCTGGAAAAGTCGTAGGAAGGTCCAGGGGAATGCAACATCCAACAAGCTCTCGCTCCACCGAGTCCATGCAGACTCATAGCAACCCCCCGCGGGTTCCAGAGACTGCCACTGCTTATGGGAGTAGAAAGCCCTGTCTTTGGGCCTAAAAATCCTACTGATCTTTAAAAAGAAATCCTCTAGTAGGGTTCAAAAAAATCCTCCTTCTCCTGAGTGATCAATCCTTAAGACTGTGCAGCTGCTCACGAGAGAATGGAGAGGGCCTAAGGGAGCTATCTGCCCTGGGTGAAGGCCTGGCTTAGTACGTGCCATAACGGCCAACACAGGTGAATAACCTGCCTGAGCTCGGAGTGCTTCCAGACAGCCACACACAAGAGCAGAAGCCTTACTGCCACAAGTAGCTAAGTACCACTTCTTCCCAGTCCTCGGCTGACCACCAAGCAATGCTGACTCAGGGGCAGCCCCTAGGAAGTCAATGTTTGGTTTTTATGTGAGAGAGAGAGAGGAAGAGGTAGAGAGGGAGGGAGGGAGGAAAGTAAGCAGAGATTCCAGAAGGGAGAAGAGAGAGATGCCATAAAATCTGTTTCTGCCGCTCATTCAACAAACACAACCAGCTACAACCACCACTCCAGGGAGGGAAACAGGTCCAGAGTTACTACAATGTACTAGAACGTCTAGTTTTTCACTCCAAACTAAGATATACAGGTCTGATTCAACACTCATAAGGCAATTATAAGCTTCTATTAATAGAATCATTTTTTTAAATCATCCAACAAAATTGAATACACATTCTTGATTAAAAACTCCTTTAAAAAAACAGGCTAAAGAAAGGCCAAGCACACGTGTCCTGTTCAGTAGTAAAAGGCGGAATGAGGAACAGCCAGGTGGTCTGATCTCACCAGTTGTACTCAGCATTGCACTGGGGCCTGGAGAGGCCTTTCCTATAGACAGAGTCCCAGTGCTGGACCAAGAGTGCCTTCAAACACCATCTAAACCAAAGACCCAAGACCACCTGCTCTGTCTACAACACAATAGTCACTTCCCTAGGGTCACTGTAATCTACACCAAGATCTTACACCTAGCCAGACTATGATGTGTGTGTGTGTGTGTGTGTGTGTGTGGTGTTTATTCACTTTCTCACTCTAAATAGAACTGAAAGAAAATTCATAAGCAAATTAGCCCTGGCTTCCCGCCCCCACCCCCTGAATTCTAGAGAAATTAGGATGTTTCAGTCAAGGTGCTGGGTTTTTGTTGTTGTTGTTGTTGTTTGTTTCTTTGTTTGGGGTGGGGTATTGCATAAGGAAACTTCCATCTGAAATAAAAATGAGTTCTGTAACCACTGGGAAGGCACTCACATGAAAGTTCCCTGTAGCAAAAGAAAATGCAGACAATGGAATATTTAAGTGTGCAAGTGAATCCCTAAGCTTGTTGAAGAATGCATAGAAAAAGAATACACGAATGAGACCAGTTATGTTAAGTATACAACAAAGCCCAAGATCTTTCTAAGTTTAAAGGTGAAATGCCTGCATAATCGCTCACCACTGTCTAACACTGTGTAGTAAAATGACAGTCAGGGCTTCTGTAAATGAAACAGACAAAGACAACAAGCAATACTATGAAAAAGATAAAACAAGGACCACCGATGATTACGAACCAAGTCATATATAGTTCCTACGAACAGAGAAATATTTGTATAATGTGTGTGGGGGGGGCGCCATCAAAAGGTTCATGGAAAATGTCATTCTCTCTTCATTCCATTTTCCCATGAACTTTTGAAGGCATCCCTTGTGCATGCATAAACGATGCTCAGTATTTAATAAACATTTTCCGTTGTAAATATTGAACACTGGGAAAGAGAATATCACAATGAATTTTAAATGTTATCCTATAATGTCTTAACTATATATAATTTATACCCTGTGCTCAGAAGAAGGTAGGTTGGCATCAAGGAAAGGAATATGCTGAAGAGTCGCTGGAAGAGGTTCATGGGACTCAGCAGTGGCACCAGCAGGGAGGAGGCTGCAACAGAACAAAGCAGAACCCGTCAGGACCAGAGAGCCCAGCCACAGCCCTGCAGAGGCCCAGGGCGTGCATGCGCCCATTGGTTCTTGGGGGGGACCCTGTAGTGGTGAGGATCTTGAACCTGATGGTATTATTTGCCCTAATTCCTTCTGTAAGAAATCTGAAACCTAGCTCATATTTTAATTAAGATTATACTTGATTGTTTGAACTATATTTTGGATTAAATGGTTCACTGTCATAATGCTAATGTCTAAATAAACAAGCGATTATTTGCCAAGGAAATAAGAAATCTTATTCAAGATTCAGTCCATCTTCCCTTAATGTGTATCTTAGTTCAACATCAGCTTCCTCTCCAGAGACTGACCCCGCCCCCCTAACTATACCATGCAAAACCTCTCCTATTAATTACAGAAAGGTAGGTGTAAGGGGCAGCAAGCTGTAACTGCCTCCCATCTCTGCTTTGTAAAGGAAAAGAATACAGTTTCAGAATCCCCCTAGTTAGAGTAGGGGTG